GGATAAAAAAAAAAAAAAAAAAAAAAAAAAAATTAAACTGGAGATGAATGACAAAATAGATCTTCTTTCGTAAAAACTGGTCAACGCCAGCTAATCGAGAATCAAAAGTTCCCAAGCTTCTAGCTTTTCTTGTATAACAGTACTAGTGTTTGTATCACATAGTGTTGCGGAGTTTCAGGTGGAGTTTGACACTCGTCAACTGTTCCAAGTGAAGGAGTATACAATCAAAGGACCCCGACCGGAATAGTGCGTTTCCAAAAGTATCCTGAACAAAAACGAAGCAAAATATTTTCGTCCAGGCCGGTTTGTTTTCACCTGCCCACACTGCTGCGTTTTCGTATGAAAAAATACTTTTTGATACAGTTTCACCTATTGCCCTCACTAAAACGCGCGAAAACTCTGATGGAAGCAACTGTATATGACGTTTTTTTCGGCACCGTTTTCAAAAGCTTCCGTTTTCACCTATCCACACTAGAAACGGAGTGTTTTCAAAAGGCTCCATTTTGAAACCGTTTTTGAAAGCCTCCGTTTAATTTTCATCAGCCGTTTGAGGTCGTTTTAGTGTGCACGATTGGCGAAAACGCATCAAAAAGTATGCGTTTTCATACGAAAACGCAGTAGTGTGGTCTGTGAGTATAAACTTGAAACTTCACTGAAGATCTAAAAAAACCCTGGATTAATTACCTTATTTGCGTTTGTAACAACAGGGCAAGAGTTTTCACAGCACTAACGATAAGCCCCACAAATCGGAAACAGAGTGAGCAAACACACACGAAAAACGGAAGCCAGTAATTTAATTATTTAATTCTCTAACGACGTGACTATAAATATAAACTTGACAAATTAAAATAGCTGCTGGGTCTTCAATTACCAGCTCTGATTAATCTGTAACTTCTCTGCACCTCTTTGTAACAATTTCAAATACACGCTGAGGTAAATGGGGATGACCGTCTTGATCATCTCCGGACAAAACGCCTGATTAAAACCCTTATTCTCCCAAGGCACACCACAGACAATATATGAAAACAGTAGGGAGAATTTCGTTATCAATCCTTGCTGTTTGAAAGGCAATTAAAGCTAATCCAGGATTAAAGACCGATCAAAGTTTTCACATGACAACACGGCCGCCATATTGGTTTTCCCAAACAATAACTTCCTATCCTTTAGGAAATGAAATCTTTTCTCAAGTCAAGTCAAGTCAAGTCATCTTTATTTAGGCAGGATAGCCCTATCAGCCATAGGCTGGTATCAAAAGGGGCCCTACGTAAAATTAAGACAACTTCTTACGAAAACATTTCCTGTTGTTTGGAAACACCTATATGACCGCCATGGAGATGAGTCTAAGTCAAAACTTGTGGACAAACAAATTTGAAAACAGAAAAAGTATAAACCAATTTTAAAAATCAAAACGTTTCTTTAATCCTAGATTAGTTTCATTGTGCTTGAAACAAGAACGGCCAAGCTGCTCAAAGGGTGGTTAACACTATCCACTGGATAAATCGCTATCCAGTGGACAAGTGTCGACAAAGCAAACTACGCTATCCACTGGAGAGTGATTTTTCCAGTGCATAGCGTTATCCACCCGTTGAACAACTGAGCTTGGTACCAGACTGCTCGTGTGCGAGTTAGAGGACTTTCTTTCGTGCCGTCGTCTCAGCGTCACCCGGAATATCGCAGTAATTAACCCTGAGTAAATAAGAGTAGCTGTGCTTTCGTCCAAGAGTTCGCCTACAGCGAGATACAAGGAAGCGGTGTTAGGACTGGAATGTGGCACACTAATGAGTGACATCCTTAAGACATGGACCATCAGAAAAATTAAGTGCGGGAGGGTGGGAAAGAGAAATCGCTCCACCCAGTCTTTCAGCCACAAAAAATCGTCCTTGCACAGGAATGGAAAAATGTTTCCATTCACAATGGTCCAACGATCTTTCTACTCTTTTCTAAACGGTCCATGGACCCTTTGAACCTAAATTTGAATAACAATACTCATACATACTAAGCCTCGCATTCATGTGAAAAATCCTTAGTCTGGAAACATCAGTACGAGGCCAAGGAAGTACAAAGTATTGTTATTCAAATTTACACGCCATTTATGCAAAGGGTGTATACTTTTTCAGAACGAGACCAAATTCATGATTACTAAACCTTACATATAACAATACGTTATCTATCAATCAATTTTCTTACTGGACTGACCTCAATCTGTAGAGCAACATGCAAACCTAAAATGATCATTGTCAAGCGAACGGAAAATTATGGTAAAAACGAACAACTCACGACAGTATTAATCTCTGGCATCTTTATCAGCCACATAAACAGGAAAACTCTACCTTCTTAGGGCGCTGGCACTGAAATGCCAACCAAATGTTCATGTGCAATAATCAATGAGAATTTCATTTTTATCAGACATAAATACGTTTCCATGAGTGGTCTCTTAGTCGCAACCGTTACTTCGTTCGTCATGCAACGCTGCTCTCTACTCACTTTTAGCTAGTACTGGCGTGACGGCACAATCAACGGCTATGGTAAGTGGTCGCCTTCAATAGACCAATTTCGATATATTAAAATTCAGCCTAACAGAGGCTCTGGGGAATAAACCCCACAAACACTGTAGTTATTCCCCAGAGCCTCGTACTGAGGTCCATTGTTTTGGGCTGAATTTTAATATATCGAAATTGGTCTATTTTAACCATAACTTGAGCCGCTACGCAAAACTATATCGTCATGCTGCGTGACGATCGAAATCACGGTTACGACGGACATTGCGTGACACTGCATACTAACTTCGACTACTAACTTTTCCAACAATACAAGCGCTTTTATCTTCAATGTCCTCCCTTGAACTATAACGTGATCCTGGCGAGCGCGGTAACGAAGCGCGACGCTCGTAGTAATTTTAATCTTAATAAAGAGGCTTCGTGCTCCAGCTGTCAGTAACTCTTGGTCTTCTCGTGAAGCACATAAGCAAGAGAATTTCCCATTTATCTCTTCTCCCTTTTTCCAATCTCTCTACGTTTCATTTATTCGTCTTGCTAAACCTTCATTGATCAATACCTCAGCAATCAGCACATCCTCGTTGCCTTTTGACGTGTCATAAAGTTCAAGTGATATTTTGGTTTCTTCATTAGTAGAGCGACTGTGATTTGCCACGCCCCTTGGCTTCGCTACCAGTTTCTTGCCCGCCGTCAGCTCCTCAAATCGCCGCCTTGCCTCCTCTGACCACTCGGCTAAGTCCGCTCCCACTGGCTCCACCCCTACACGGGAGAATAACAGGGACAATTCCTCACGTTCATTACCACTAATGCAGTGAAGTTTTCGCTTGAATTACCGGGAGGCAAAAACTGAGCTCGTGCTCTTCGGGGGGATGTTACCACGCAACGTGAGAAATTCTTGTTGGCGGGGTAGGAGGGGTGGGGGCAGAGGGCGGGGTAATAACGAAGATGTTATTTTCCGCCCACTAACACATCTACTCACAATATAACAGGTTTCCTTACAGATTGTTATCTAATGTCCCTTCATTACATACCATGTAGGCATCCTTGAACAGCCATCAGGGGCAGTTCTCTGAACTCATCTGGTAAAGCTTGCAAACTGGTCGAGGGCACAATTCCAAAATCTCCATGATCAGCAAAACGCACGCAGGTCTAATACAAAATAAAATATATTAGTCACTGAGCGAGTGAGGAAACGTTGGGCTACTTCTCAACTGACCTGCTGAGGAGACAGAGAAGCTTTGATCACTCCCCTGTACCACATGTTATCCTCTGCATTGTGCACGGCGCATAAAACACCTGGTCTGACCTCCCTGAAAGGAGTTTTGCTTCTGCCCTGTGAAGGAAAGGTATTGAAGTATAACTGAACTCTCTACGAGTATAGCACGTTAAGTGGAGACTAATATTCTCCGATTACACCAAAGCTAATCATGCTTAAAAGCTTCGAGCTTTAAAGTCTACCAGGCTTTCAGTTTTGTCTGTGATTTCCAAGCTTTTTGTTAAATATGTCTTGGCTTAAAGAGGGTAACAGCTGTGTTCTGAACCATGCAAGACATAGACAGTCCATCTGAAGTTGTCAATGACAGGGTCATTCAGTCGGAATACATTTTCACCCATTAAACGGACCTAGTGGCGTCCCATCGACAAGAACAGTACATCTGTACCCTCCACTCAAGAATCACATTACGGTAAACCCACTTTAGGAAGTGTGTGAATAAAACAGGACCTTGTTATGTTGCTTAAGACACGCAAATCGTGATTGATTACATACAGTGTAGTACTCTTGAATTTTCTCTTCCAGTTCCTCTTTCCGTTTCAGCAATTCTAAGCACTCAAACTACAAAGAAAAGACAAAGCATATCAGTTACTTTTTGGGTTATCAAATTCTAGAATGGATGGGGAGAGAGCAGAACAAAAATTATATAGAATGGACACTTCAAGTTACCATACATGTAATGGTAGCTGCATGTTTGAAAAAGTACAGTGCTTCGAGTTATTGCCATTAAAAGCCTAGCCTCCCAAGCAGATGCGAGGAAGGGGGAGACGCCCAAAGAACGTCTGCGTAGCAGGCGATTAAAAACATGGCATCAATGGATTTTGAAATAAAGAAAATAAAATCAAAATACAACTGAAGTATCGTGACGGGATTTACACCATAAAAAAGCTGGGTATCATAGTACAGTGTTTTGTGTTCTCACCATGAAAAGGCTAGGGTCTACAAATTCCAGAATATAGACGTCTACCCAAGGTTGAGAGAAGTCTAGTGGCGGTGGGATGGTGATCTTGTCGCCTTCCTCTGGTGATTTACTGGCGTCTGATGAGCTTTCAGATGCCACGCTGTCTCCATCAACAGAGCCATCGTCAGGAGGCTCTGACACAGCATCGTCATTTCTGGAGAAACGGGAAAAAGACGAAAATAAATAATTCATTTAAGTGTCAAATGTATTTAGCACTGTTGTGCTGAATGAAAAGAAATTAGCAAATAGAAAATAAACTATTAAGAATCCCAACTGGTGGGAGACTGACCAGTAGGCTATTTACACAACGCGGTCGAGGAGTTGAACTCGGGGCTACCGAGAACAAATCCAGATAAAGGTAGGGAGGAGGATTTCAACCAGGGACCTCCAGATTTCAAATCCAGCGCCCTAAACCACTCGGCCACACCACTTCCACAACTGGGAAAACCAGCGTTGGCTGTAAACTTTGAAGACATCTAGCTCTTTCCATAAAAGATATCTACTTACATTGGGTTTAGAGCTTTATTGAGCGTTTTCACTCGCCTGGCCAGCAGCCATGCAAATTTATTGGAACAAAAGAAAGTGTTTACATAAGATAAGAGTCCAACTTTGAAAGGTCTGGTTTGGAACAAAAACATGACCGTCATTTCATTATTTTGAGACACCAATATCGCTGCTGGTCAAATCTTGAATTTTCAATATTTGGCATGACAGGTCAAATATTAAATTTTCAAAATTTTTCATGACAGGTCAAGACTTGAATTTTCAATATTTGGCCTCCAAAGTCTAATCGTGAATCAKTTTTTTWAACATWTTCATGGCTGGTCACGTGAAAACGCTATATAGAGAGGGGCTGGGAGGGAGACTGAGGAATGTAGTTACGAACACTTTATCTTCTCCTCAATTATAGTAGAAAATGCCATATACCCAGCAAAAGTTGATTCTTCTTCTTGAATGTCGCCCTGTTTTTCACTTTCCAATCCTATTAACTCTGCCAAGTTTAACAGAGTGTTCTCGTCTTCCTCAGAAGGAACGAATAATCTTACAAGGGGCAAATCAGAAGACTGTACAACCTACAAAAAACAACATTTTTAGGGTTTCTTAAAACCTGCAAGTTATTAAGCTTTCCCTAGCATTTCTTCAAGATGGTAAAGTTGCTTTTCACGTCGCCAATAGTGTTAACCTGACGGCGGAGAACTGGTTCTCCTCAATTACGCTGACGTAAATGACGGCTGCTATGGCTATGTAGAAGCTCATGAAATTATAACATTTAGCAAATAGTTACGTTCCACAGTTCACGGGAAGACCATGGATATATAACGCGCGTTTTAAATAAAAAATGACCACGAAAACATGCAGCTATTGCAATGTAAAAGGTCAATACCATTTTCACGTTTCACAGCTCACGCGAAGACCAGGTGTTATCAAGTATTATAAAATAAAATTGACTATGATTACAACGATGACGACTGATTGACAAGGATGACGCTGAACAACAACAAAATTAGACAACGTCATACATTTAGTTTGTAAACAATGTTCTGAAGCTCTTACCTCAAGTAAAACGTTTCTTTCCATAATTGCATAGCCTTGCTCCTCGGTCAAGGATTCCTGCTGTATGGTAAAGAGTACGTCCAGTGAATATAAAGCTGATTAAACTTTAAGACAATTTAAAGCAATTTTTCTTGGACAATTTTGTCCAAGGGTCTGTCCAAGGGGGAAAGGCGCGATGAGGTTAACTCTCTGTGAAACACTAACCCGTGAGACAAGGCCAGACCACAACACCGGCAACTCTATGCCCTACTCTTTGCAATAAGTGTATGGGTTCTTTAATGTCCCCTGCTAACCATGTAACACTGAAGATGCAGGAGAAGGGACCTACGGTTTATAGTCCTTATACGAGAAGCCTTTCAAAGGCAGCACATTTTCCTCAGTTACTTTAAGAGTATTGGGTGCTTGAACTCTCGACCTCCCGCACAGCAGTCTGGTGCTCTTCCAACTGAGCTAAGCATGCGGCGGTCATATTAATTTACACCATTAACATACTGCATTCAATTCATAACTTCTCTTACCTTGTCAGTTCCTTCTAGCTTGCATTCCAAGGCCTTCAAAAACCAAAAAGTAACCAACAACAAAAAGTAAATTCAACCCTCACAAAAAAAAAAACTGAAATCTGACTGAACAACGCTCTTTTAAACAACACCAGTTTTCAATGATGTGAAGTTTATATGAAATAATTCTTCACTTTCACCAGTTTTCAATGTCGCCGAATGCTTAACTTCCTTGTTTGTTAAATCGGGAGCTGCTCTAATTGCATTTCTTGTTATTTTTCTTTCAAAATCTCAAATAATCTGACTTTAACTGCCCTCTATGTACATTTTTGCGATCTCCCACATAATTCGAATCTTTTGTCTTTCTTGACAGTTTAATGTAACTCCTTCAATTAGAATGTTCCTTTAGTCTTATTACTGGAGGCTTTTTTAATACCACAGTACCTGAAAAGGAAGCGAGTTGACATGGCCGATAGCTCTGGCAGGTTCACGGAGACTTGATACTGGAAGCTGCTCTATGTTTCCATAGTCAACGTACTGCACTTCAACCTTAAAAGAAAACATATTTCATTGATGCAGTCTGCAATTCTTGGATTCAAGTAGAGTTTTCATTGTCTTCGATAGAGAAAGTAAGGC